GGTCTTGAACCCGTGGGCTCAGGCAATCCACTCACCTCAGCCTCCCAAGGCGTGAGATTACAGGCTGAGCCACCGAGCCCGGCTGAGTTTTCCTTTTTCATTCTCTTCTTTTCACTAATAAACTCTGTTTTAAAACTTAAAAAAAAGGATATACACGGCATTGTGCTGAAGTTTACATTTTACTTTGAGGAACTATGGAACTATTTTTCAACTTGGAAAAGTCCAGTAGAGTCTCTAATAAAGTGCTAGAATGTGAAATTCAGCAGGTTACAAGAACTAGACCAGATATGTCCAACTTGCAGCCCGCAGGCCACATGTGGCCCAGGACAGCTAGTCATGTGGCCTCGCACAATCTTTTAATATCATGTGCTTTTTTGCTTTTATTTTCTTTGTGACCCCATACATAGTCCCATTTTTGAAGTTCACAATTATGCCTTATTCATGACATCACTTTTTGGCAGCACATACACTTGTGAGCAGCTGTTTTCAATTATGAAGCACACAAAAAGCAAAATTTGAACAAACATTTCTGATGAGCACCTTGAAAACTCACCAAGAATTGTGACCACTTTCCATTGAACCAGACGTTGATAGATTAGTTTTAAAAAAACAAGGTCAAATTTCCTACTGGTTTTATATAGTTCTCATTTTCTAAACTTTATAATAAAAAATAGTAAAAAGAAGTCTTATTATGTATATACACTAACTATATTATATAGTGTATGTGTGGCCCAAGACAATTCTTTATTCAGTGCAGCCCAGGGAAGCCAAAAGGTTGGACACCCTTGAGCTTGAGAAATGCTGAGAAGGAAGTGATCAGTGAGTGGGAAAAGTGGACCACAAAGTGGTCCTTAAAAGGATAAAAGCTGAACCAGCAAATGATAGCATGGGTCTCAGAAGGGGAGTAGCATGGCTGATAGTGAAGAGGACCGTGAGAAGCCTAATGCTCAGGCCGGGGAGACAGCACAGGCTAGCGACACAGACGTAGAAGGTTTCTGCGGGGAAGTGCTGGGAACAGCTGCCCAAAATTTTGAGTTGAGTAAATCAACCCAATTGGATGGGCATAAGGAACTGCTGTAGGTTCTTATGTGATGGGATTTGAGTTTACATGGTAACAAGTATTTATAGGAGACTCAGAGAGTGGTAACGAGGACTACGTGGTAGCAGTGAGGCTGGAGAGGGAAACACAAATTCAAGAACTTTTGTAAATAAAAGATGGATAGGATTTGGTGGCTGATTTCAGGCAGAAGAAAGAACAGAACACAGACCTGGAGGAACAGGATAGCAAGGCTGCTATCAACAGAGATGGAGAGGTAAGGGAATAGGACCGTTGAGAGATAAAGCAAGTCTGGAGTTTGCCACGTTGTTTCTGATGGAAGTGGTGGATCTGCAGAGGAGATGTGAAGATCAGGAGAGAGTGCTCTGTTGAGGATCAAAGTGGTTCACAGGGAGCAGAGTCATCAGAAGAGAGGCTCAGAGACTGGAGGCTCAGGGAGAGGCCTTGCCAGATACACAAGGGTAAAGAACAGAAATGGGAAAAGGAAGGCTGAGCACGGTGGCTCAGTCTGTAATCCCAGCACTTTGGGAGGCTGAGGCAGGAGGCCTGCCTGAGTCCAGGAGTTCAAGGCCAGCCTGGTCAATATAGTGATACTGCCTCTCTACAATAAAATTTTTTAAAAAATTAGCCAGGCATGGTGTCTTGCATCTGTAGTCCCAATACCAGGGAGGCTGAGGCGGGAG